AGAGGGTCCCCTCCCGATGTAAAAAGTATTTAAATATAAAGGGGCGATTCTAGGGTAAAGAAACACAACAATTTGTACAATTTAGATGAAACACACCGGTGACAACATTGCTAGGATTATTTTATGTTCAGTTTCTGCCAATAGATCCTTTTCACCTAAATCTTATGCATAGAAACCAGTAGTGGCTTGTATGAAAACCTCACCCAAAAGATATATCGATGATAAAACATGCAGAATCTCAGATACTAAGGTAAAAAGCAGTGTCCAAGCAGGCCGACCAAAGAGCCACAGGTAGTTTCCTTGAACAAAATGCTATTTTATTTTGGTTTTGGTTTTAGTAACAAAAATGTAAAGAAATAGACTTCCTAAATCAAAAAGGTCAACTAACAAAAGAAGTGGTTGCTGATGCGGCCATCACATTGACATTAGAAGTGATTTCTGTGTATAAGGTTAAAGCAGCTGTAAACTGCTGCTCAAGAGTCAATGCTTCAGATTTCAAAAATGTCCTATATAATAATGTCAGCCATAGGAAACAGTTTGCTGCACTGTTCTTTTACTTTTGATGTCATTGGTTCATTCACTACAGTAAAGGATCTAGAACCACTGTGTGTGTGCTACAAATAATTAATTGGGTTATTTCTGTCCGGACTCTTGCTCTTGGCATGTGAATAATTATTTTCTATTATTTAATTTCAAAATTCTGTGTATTCAATCATTTTTAATATATTCATCCATATGTCAGGAAAATGTATTTCCATATTCTCGATTGGCTCCACTTTGCTTCCGCCCAGTGTATCTGTTCATCACCTCAGTGTCTTCTTCACTCACAGTATCATCTCTCTTCAGTAGTCTTCTCCACTGGTATTCATTCCTGCTGCCAAGCTCAATGAATCAAGCTATTTGCATATTGGGGAGATAAGGAGTTAGCCTTTGTTTCTAGGATAATCGAATTAAACCGTGCAATCCGACAGACCCACACACACACACACACATGCACACCCAAAGAGAGAGTCTTCCATATCTGAGGATTGATGTGTTTCTTTGATGGGGACAGATCCCTCAGGGCAAAGAAGACTGACTTTACTTGGTTTTCTCCTCTCTCCCACATTCTGATGTTCACAGGCATATGCACAAACACACAGTTCTATTTCTAAAATTAGGATTCTACTAAAAAAACTAAAAGGTTTCGGGACATTTTTTTTTTTAATCAAAGCAATGGATAATTATTATTCCAGTCCAATTTCAAAATGTGTGTTCATCATTTTTCTTTTCCCAACTGAGACTTTCTAAACCCATGCATATGTGTAGTAGTTTCAACAATTGCTCGTAACGATTTTATGCCTTTGTCTACATTTCAAAAGTAGAAGTATAACAAAGGACTTCTGTGCCATTTTAAATTCACCAATGTGGCAGGGATGGAGGGAGTTCTATCATGTGGGATTTTGGGCTGTGTAAATCAACTTTAATCAAGTCTGACTCCCATGCTTGGCATTGTCTTCTCCCCTTTAACCTCCTCACTCCCATTTAGGACAAGCCTGGTGAATTAAACTGCTGAGGTTGTTTTTGTTTACACACTCACAGCTACAAATGATTACAATACAAAAATGACTGGTGACCTTGGGACTATGGCTTCAAAGACTGGCTCTCGGCAAATGGAGAGTAAACTCTCTGACAGCAAAGGAGTCTGCAAGGAGAGAGTGTGCAGCTGAAGACGCCTCTGACTATGTCTGAACTCTTTAACTTGTAGAACACACACACACACACACACACAGTGAACAAAACAAATTACAAAAGATGTCTGGGAAGTTTTCATCTGCTGCACATTTACAGATAATTAAACAACATGGAGGTCAGTGATCATGACTCACTATGTGTTTACCGTGTTCCTCACCCATCCACATGTGACATGTGCATGTGCACAATTTGCTATTTTTAAAGCTTCTTAAAATGACTAATGGTAGAATGATGGACATCAGTAATTAGCATTTTAGGTGGATGGATTATCTTGGAGATTTGCTCACTAACATAGATTTAAACACATTTGTGAATATCTAATACAAGCCCTGTGTGTACTTCTAACTAATTTAATCATGTTTTTATGTAAAGCAATAAGAGGAGCATTGACATAAACAAGAACATTGTCTGTAAAAATACACAACAGAATAATCAATGCTTTTTTAAATCAAAGTATTAAAGATGGCGATAAACACTGACCAGTAGAGACATTTTGAACTATGAGTGCTAAAGACAAAGAAAGGTGACATCACATGAAAGTTTAAAAAAATGTGTTTTTGATTATAATTTTGTGTTACATATTATGTAATTCTGTGATCCTAATGAATTTCCATAATTCCCAGGCCTTGACTGAAAAGGTCTCCCTTTGTTATTAAGGAAATGGCAAACATACATAGATTGCAGACTCTCAGATAAGGATTTGATGCTTTTCTTACACAAATGATAGAAAATCAATATGGTTAGATTTCGGACCACTGGTCAACTCTCGTAATTCGCATCTCACTTAGATTTCCACTGCCTCAACATGTTCCTGCAAATTTTCACCTTTTAATTTGACTTTTTTATGAATCCAGGTGTTCCATGCGCATGAACAGATAAATGGAGAAAGCTCCCTGCCATCCTCGGGTGAATTCTGCCTCTCTCCATGTTCATGTCACATCCTTTTCCTCTTCACTTGTTCAGGCGTGAGCTCTCACTACCTGCACTGTGGCGTAGGCAGCAGCAGCTGTGAGGGGAGCAGGTGACAAATGAGATTGAATTCCTGTCTTCCCTGCAGTGGAGTCTAATAGCTCCGATGTGAGACAGCAGACAGACAGCCAGTTGTGAGGATGCTGAGAGACAAAGCACTCTATCTGTTTTTTTCTGTCACTGTGGTGAGCTGATATTCAGTCTGACCACGGTGGGCAAACTGAGCTGCGATAAACTGTTCAGCTTGAGATTCATGGTGCCCATTTAGAATGAGCATAATTAAACTGGAGTGATTACAGTGTTTAAGCAGGCAATAAGGCAATTACCAAAGTGGCAGGTGTGAGGACATTTGTGTCACTCTTTTATTACCTTCTGTAGATTTACCTAATCCCACTGTTAGCATTTATTTACCACATTTGACTGTTTGATAAATAAGTCACACACATATATATATATATATATGTATATGTATATATGTAAATACATTTCTCATTGCAAACAGAACAGTTTATGACTAGACACAGTGCTAAACATAAGGCTGTAGTATTATGTACTGGTAATATACTGGGTAATATGTACTTAGTAATATACTATAAAGCTGTATATTTAAGGAATCTTATGTGGAGCCTGCGGCCTTTTCCTTCTTTTTTTCACTGTTTCAAAACAAAACCAAAACTACACACATAAGCAACAGGTAAAACAAGTAATCCAGTGTTTTTATCTACTCTGACACAAAATGCTAGTGTTGGCATGTCCAGAAAACGTTTACCATCTAGGGGTGATCGATTAGTTCATGGTATAAGGTGAAGACAGAATAGGAGGTAATTGCAAGAGTTACTAAACACATTAATAAGGGTTCTGAAGGGTTTAGATTCAGAGTACTGAGCACTGAGTCATGTGCTCATTAACACCTGTTTTTACCTGCTGTTTTTAAATGGTCGCCGTGAGTTTAGTTCAGCAGAATCAATGGGTGCTGATCATTTTTTAAACAGTTATCATTTCCATTTGTATAGCCTATATTCACAAATCACAATTAGACTCATAGGGCTTAACAAGGTGCACACCCTCCGCCCTTGAAGGGATCGTTCACCGGAAAAAAAAAACTTTGCTTATTATCTACTCACCGTTATGCTGATGGAGGGGTGGGTGCTTAAATTTCCTTTTTTCGGTGAACTATCCCTTAAACGCATGAAAAGAGTAGAGGAAAACTAAAAAAATCAACAATCCTCAGAGAGAGCCACAGGACGGACAGAAGTACAATAGATGATCAACAGAATTACAATATTTACAACTTTCATGAGAAAAAGACACTTAACGGTCCAGAGTTGATGATGGTTATTTGACATCATCTTCTTCACCAAGGTGTCGTCAGAAGAGATGTGTCTTTAGTCTGCAGTGGAAGATGTGAAGACTTTCTGATGTCCTGGTGTCAATGGGAAGCTCGTTCCACCATTTAGGAGCCAGGACAGCAAACAGTCGTGATTCTGTTGAGTGGTTTGCTCGCTGTGAGGGAGCAGCAAGCCGATTGGCAGATGCAGAGTGGACAGGCTGGGGTGTAAGGTTTGACCATGTCCTAGATGTAGACTGGGCCCAATCCGTTTTGAAAGTGTAGGCGTGAGATGACCAGAGCCTGGACCAGAACTTGGCCACCTTTCAGTGAGAAGGGGATTCGGGTTGTTGCAGCAATGTTGGCGGTAAGGGAGAATTGAATGTTGAGTGTCACACCCAGGTTCCTAGCAGTCTGGGTGGGGGCCACCACAGAGTTGTCAATGGTCCACTTACTAAATGTTTAATTAATATACATGAGCCAATAGACTAATTGTACTTTTCAGCATAATCTCTGCTTGCAATAAGATTATGGTGTGTAACAAACCATATATTAATTATTCAGACAGTTACCTGTTGTGGACATTTTGACTCATCACATTATATAAGCCAATATCATCAGGGCGACTGAGGGCTAATCCTGCTGAGATCGTATTAGAGGATCCGGATAAATTGTGGTGCACATCAGGGTCACCCGAAGTGTTCAGATCAGACCGAGACGGATAATTTGGTGTTATGTGTGTGTGTGTGTGTGTGTGTGTGTGTGTGTGTGTGTGTGTGTGTGTGTGTGAGGGGGGAGGGCAAACACCCTGAACAACACAGATGTTTGTTGAGCTGCGTCGTGCGTATTGGTGCGACGAAGTCCCCCAGAGCGCAGCGCGCTGTCCTCGCGGTGCGTAAAGAGAGCTGTGCCACAAAATGCGCCGAGAGCACTTTTTCCCATGTTCACACGCGAGGCGTCTGCACTTTCCCGTAGAAAGGAATCAGCTCAGGTGACGGGATACGATCTATTTTTAACGACCAACTCAGCAAACAGTCAGACACATGCCCGGAAGATGGACTCGCTGTACAACGCCACCGATTGTAACGGGACGACCGTCTCCGTTAACTGCACCGACGGCTTCAACCAGTTTGTCCAGCCGGTGTGGCAGATCACGCTGTGGGCTGTCGCTTATTGCAGCATGGTTGCGGTGTCTGTGGTCGGTAACATGGTGGTCATCTGGATTATTCTGGCGCACAAGCGCATGAGGACCGTCACCAATTACTTTCTGGTAAGTAACTGCAGTATGTTAATGATATGTTATGATTAAGGGTTTCTTTAAATGTAAGGTGTTGTTTGATAGGATGAAACTTTATTATTATGTTCTGTCATTTTTAGAAATTGATTGGTGATGTGTCATGTTTGTCCCCTCCAACATGGATTGTTATGTTATGCCATTTTTTGTTAAATGAATTATCCAAGGCTATACTGCATCGACTACCGATTATAGAGGCTCTACAAAATGACAGTATGTTGGTCTGACTGATTTAATGATCAACATTATCTTTCTTGGCTAAATATGTAGTGAATGAATGCAATCATGAAAACGTCCTTAAAAGATGAACCAATTAACTGGTTAATCAACTAACTTGAGGCCCATGTAACATTAGAACAGACTAGAATAACAAACATAATGATAATCAAACACAGTCCCCTCAACATCTACGAGCATAAAGGGATATTTTTAAATGTCTCTCTGCAAAGCTTTTTTCCTCAAACAATTGCAGCTCTACAGTATGAAAACATGAAAACTCTTGTATTCAACACATGCTTGCTCTGTAACAACTTATGAGGGATGTAAAACACTGACTATTATCAGTATTTCAGTAGTTCATCAAACAAAAATTCTTTGTGATTATTCGTTGTATCTGAAATTTGAGCTCTGATTTCAAGTCTCAAAACTATGGACCATATTACCTCACAGTGAGCCCTCAATATATTTGTCGAGTTTTTTTACATGAGATATTTTCAAAAAAACGTGTGATGCAATGAATTAATTAATCTTCAAATTATTTTTTTCCTTAGCTTTTTACAGTTTTGTTTTCAATAATTTTTTTCTGGAAAAGAGTTTTGTGTTGTGACTAAAATAGTAATTTCATTTTCAAAATAAATGCCTATTTATTTTCTATCAATCATCTGCTTAATGAATTCATTGTTGCAGCTCTAATGTACTTTCATAAACTGAGAGAGCTCAGATCTCTTCTTCATCGAACAAGCTCAAGCATAGTGAACAGATGAGCTTCCTGTTGATCCTGAAAAGACAGTTTATCTTCTCCAGTCATTCAGCTCAGAGAAAATAACCATATTCATGCCCTGCATATAGTCTCTCAGGCAGCTTTTCCTCCCAGTTGTTGAACCTTCGATGAGGGGTTTGAATATGTCTTTACAGTTGTGCATCCAAAGTTTCTCACTTTCTGACTCGGACTCTTTGTGAGTATGGTGGCAAGAGTTGTTTAGTAATTTCTGTCGTTCCTCTGCAGGTCAACCTGGCCTTAGCCGAGGCTGCCATGTCTGCGTTCAACACAGTGATCAACTTTGTGTATGCTGTTCACAACGAGTGGTACTTTGGCTTGGTTTACTGCCGCTTCCACAACTTCTTCCCCATTGCGGCCATATTTGCTAGCATTCATTCCATGACGGCCATCGCTCTGGACAGGTGTGTGTGTGTGTGTTTTCAGCATGGGCTATATTTCACAATATATGTGTTTAGATGAACAGGAATACAAGCCATTCTAAACGGCAGCATGAGCATCAGCACCGCAGCGTAGAAATCTTTACGTCTCTCCACTACAGCGCCTAAATAAAAATGAGAATGTGTACCTCAGGGCTCTGGAGGCACTATAGAGGATACCTAACACTTTTGCAATATACAGTAGAGGAGACGTCATACAATAAAAAGGCTTTTACACATTTCACAGTTCTCACGTGTATGGCCAAATGAAAGGCTGTATACAAGAAGAAAACTTGTATCTGCAAGGCTGAACCTATACAGTGATGTTCTTACATTGCAGGTATATTGTGTTATAATGAGCTAGCTGTTTTCATATACAATTCTAATTTCTTAATAAATAGAACTAAACTTTTCTGATTCAAGATTTTTTGGGAAATATCACAAAAACGTTTTACAGGTGGAAAAGGAAGCGAAACGATTAAGTGCAATGGAAAGACCATACAGTAATCCCATGAGAGAGAGGAAAAATGGCTGCTGATTAAACATTGCAATATGTGGACCATTAAGTAATCAGAGCTGGTGTTTGTCTAGTGTCTACCATCTCACTTTAGCATTCAAACATTTGCTAATAAACGCTGCAACAAACTACAGATGAGGCTGATAGAACATGTAGAGCAGGAAAATGAAATACAAAATACTGCATCATAAGTATTGAATAAAATGCGACATATTCACACCTTTTGTGTTGGTTTACACAGATACATGGCTATCATCCACCCCCTGCAGCAGAGGATGTCTTCCACAGAGACCCGTGTGGTGATTGCTGTGATCTGGATGTTGGCTCTGCTTCTAGCCTTCCCTCAGTACTACTACTCCTCCACCGCCCTGCTGCCTGGACGCTCAGTCTGCTACATAGACTGGCCTGAGTACTCCACTGTGGACTTCAAGAAGATGTGAGTATAGCAGTGCATGAGGTTTCTTTCTTCGAGTAGTTTGTGAATAAAGATGATGATTACACATGACAGCTCCCGAAAGTGAAGCCACAATGTTTTTATCGCCCCCTGGTGACTGGCTGCATAATAGGTCAAAAAACGGAATATCTTAAAGCCATTTTTTTCAATGATGCTTTCTTATCACACTGATGTTTGTTCAAGTGTTGATGTTTCTGATCATTTTGGTTATGACTTTGGTTAATTGCATGTATCTGTGGGACCTCAATACCAAACCTCCACTTAAATATCGCAATGCTGTTATTTTTCATTTTTGTGATAGGAAGTTGAGACAATGTCAAGCATCTTTATTTACAGTATATGGTTGCAAGTATAATTGCAAGGACATTCCCACTATTTATCTTTATAATACAGAGCATTCCCACTTCTCACCGGGCTCAGGTGAATGAACCAGCTTCTCAGATTCAGATTACAATATTAAATCCTCAATTTTCATTGTTTGTGTTGTTTTATTCGTTATTGAAGTAGCTTTGAGCTTTCTGACAGTAATTGTAATTTCCCTGTCACTGGTTTTCAAACTTGTTATAAGTAGCTGTGTGTTGTCGTTGCCCCTACAACCACAGATTGTTACTTTCACATCTCTACCCATGTACGCATTAAACAAGCAAGATCAGCAAGTTGATAATTGTACTGTAGCTGTGTGCAAAAGTATATTTTTGAGGTTATGTGTTTCAGACCTAAGCTCCAGTCTTTCTGCTAAGCTAAAATAACCACACCCTGTCTCCGGATCAGTACTTGTAACACACAGACATGACACTGATATGCACCTTCTCATCAAACACTCAGAGGTACGTGTATTTGTATTGCTGCTGTACAAGTAAATAATGTACCTAAAACAAAAAGGATCTTGATCTTTTCATCACATTCACATCCCTGTTCTCCTTAGAGAGGAGACTTCCTGTCACAACCAAAATGTCAGAATGATTACAAGAGAACCTGAGCCAAGCTTACAGAGGAACAGACATGGTGGACATGCAATGGTCTTTATTTCTTGGCATAAAAAGGGAACTTTAGTGTTGTAGTTGTTCAGTGTGGAAAACACTTGGGAGGCATATGTTACATATAATAATGTGATATGGGGATCCACAGACAGAAAGCAATGCATGCCTAGGCCTAGTTGTGTTATTTATTATTAGAGGGAAGTATTCAACTGATTTGGTGACACCCTGTTAGAACATCTGCTTTCCCCTATCAGTATTCAGAAGAATTTTCCACATATAATATTGTATCATTAAGTGAACGAGGTGCCAGCTTAGAGTATTATCTTTCTTCTCTTCAGGCAGCTCATGTGTCATGCTTCTCGGGGTGGTTGTTCATTTCGAGTCATATTGATAATTATTATTTCATGCATTTCATGCCCAGAATGACTGAACTGGTCAAACCCTATATGCTTAGTACATATCCAGCAGCATTACATTGTAACGGGTTAATAAGGCTCATCCCACAGCAGACAGAAACCTTTGCTTCACAGATGCTGCAGTCTGTCTGAACCAGAGCAATAGTCATTCTCTTGCAGGGTTCATGAATATGAAAAATAGACCCTGAAGCTGAAAATGTCCCTGTCCAGGTGGTGAATGTGTCCATGAAGAAGTATATGTGCAGCTAAAAGAAGGCATATGTTCACATTTGTTCCAAAATGTATAAATTAGTCATATCTGTGAACACTGTGCTATCACACCTTCTAAACCCTAATTTTTTTAATTGGGCTCAAAGTGACTTTCCTAGTTGATGAGCAGGTAATGTTTGTTTTAGACTATCCTCTGGTTAAAAAAAAATAATAATCTGATCAGCTGTTTATGACCCATACTTGTTTCATTTGTGGGTGACATCTAGTGGGTGACCTAAAGAGCGACAACATTTAGACTCGTGGAACCAACCATATATGTGGTTTCTTTTATCCATTTAAAAACGAATCGCTTCCAGCATTTACAGAACAAACACAAGTCCATATTATCAATTTCCTCCTTTCCTCCTGTTCTCTCCTGTTGTCCTGTCTCATTCTTCTGTAGATACTATGTGTGTGTGACACTGCTCATCTACTTCCTGCCCCTCTGCGTTATGGGCTGCGCGTACACAACCGTAGGTGTCACTCTCTGGGCGAGTGAGATTCCCGGAGACTCGTCCGAACACTACAAAGAACAGCTCATTGCCAAACGCAAGGTGAAGCGGACGCTCACTACAACTACTAACCTCCCACTGTCACTACACACTATCATGTAATGTAATGGCTTTTTAATCCCCACACCAAAAAACAAATGAAATCAACAGATTATTTTTTCTCTCATTTTTTTCCCGTCCCGTGGCAGGTGGTGAAGATGATGATCGTGGTGGTGTGCACGTTCGCCGTCTGCTGGCTGCCCTATCACGTCTACTTCTTACTGCACCAGTTCTTCCCCGAGCTGTTCGAGCAGCGCTACATCCAGCAGGTGTACCTGGTCGTCATGTGGCTGGCCATGAGCTCCACCATGTACAACCCAATCATCTACTACTGCCTCAACAGCAGGTTGGAGGTCTAGTCTGCTTTTAACAGTGGAAATGTGAGATTCTTTTAGTTCCTGACTCTCTAGCGCTTGTTTAGGTGATCCCCTCATGTGACAGGTAATCTGTATTAGTGTGTGTAATCCTGCCTGTTGTTTAATCCATCCTGTTATGAAATATTTGTCCTCCATCCGGCAGGTTCAGAGCAGGTTTTCAGCAGGTGTTTTGCTGCTGCAACCCCACCATCGTCAAGGAGGAGCTAGAGCTCAAGTCACCCCGTTACCTGCAAACACAGGTTTGTGTGTGTGTGTGTGTGTATGTGTGTGTGAGACAGAAAGAGAGAGAGATAGTTGTCTTCTTCTGCAGTGGAGAGATGAAGTCCTGATGTTCTAGCCACCTCTGTTCCATCAGGTTTCCATATTTCACTGCAGCAGCTTCTATTAAAAACATTCCACTCAGTGAGCAGATAAAAAACTTGAATGGCACACACATAGTGTAAGGCCCAATAGTCTCATCACAAGACCACATTTAAATCCACATGATTTTGGTTGGATCTGCACCAAACTCATGAATATCAATCCCCTGAACATGCATGATTTTTTTCATCAAGATCCATGAATGACTTTCAGAGAAATCAAGGACATTTTGAAAAATCTCACAATGTTAAACACTCCCATCAAAATTGAACGGGTTTAATTTTGGGAGTGGATTTTTCCAGCTTCCATTAAAAACTTCCAGTGGGATGACGTGGGTGGCACCATTCTTCATATATATTTATATATATATTTAAAAGTCGCCAATGCTTTCTTTTAAAGTATATTTTAAAGTATATTTTCTGCCTGACAACTTCAAGGGCCTTCAGTCCTCTCTGTCCTGTATGTGGGATACAACCAGAGACACTCGACTGTCCTGCTGTTATTACAGGCTGTGAGATAGCATTATGTGCACCTCATGCTTAAAGAAGCATGATTTCTTTTAAATATATGAACAATAACCCATACATTTAATCAAACAGGGAATTGACATAGGAGTCTGATCCTATACTTTAGGACCTAATATCACTAGAACCACTCTGTAATACTTCACACTCTTTTCCACCCATCTCTCCTCTCCTCCCCTTTTTCTTTGCTCACCCCAACCAGTCGAGGCAGATGATCGCCCACATTGAGTCTGGTTCTAGAGGTTTCTCTCTGTTAATGAGGGCGTTTTTCCTCCACAGTCTCTAAAGTGCTGCTCATTGTGGGAACTGTTGGGTTTCTCTATATTAAATAAGATTTTAAGGTCTTGACCTTCTATGTAAAGTGCCTTGAGATAATGTTTATTATGATTTGGTGCTATCCAAATAAAATTGAACTGAATTGAATTAATACAAGAATATCAATATTTCTATAATTCCAAGGAAACATCACTGGGTTAAGCAAAAAAAAATGAAAGAGGCTGATTGTTTTGTCTTTCTTTTCAGGTGAGCATATACCGAGCCAGCAGGATGGAGACCGTTGTTTCCGCTGCCGACCATCCTGCAGCAGAGGAGCAGAAGAGGGCTGAGCTGTGTTCTGTGGCTCTCACGTGGGGGTCACATCCAAGTGGTGGTGACCTGCGCTCCGAGATGTTCCCCGCGAGTCCTAATAGTCCCTCGCAGCAGAGCAGACACCATGAAGAGTGATGTGCTGCAGTGTGAAAACAAATTGCTGTGGAAGGGACAGTCGTGCTCAGATGGCACAGAAATCTGCACCTGATCGGGTCCATCACTGATATTTTGTTCGTGCCATTTGGCAAAGTGCATGAAGACCCAGTGGACATCATGAGAGGAGCAGGAACACTGCAGTGCGCCTCACACTGGTTCATATCGTCACTCAGCACGAGTGGGGCGTCGACACTTGACCCCCCAGCATTCTCGGGCTGCCTTTAGAGTGAGACCCTCAGCTTCCCTTGGCAACGGCGCCACGTCAAGTTGAGTCTGCGGCGACGTGCTTGTGTTGTTGTGTGGAAATAGGGAAGGCGGCTTCAGAGCGTGTGTGTGGAGATCTAGCACCTGTTGGACGGGATTAGCCCCCTTGTTTTGACAATGTGTAGAGCGGGGTTCAGTCTACAGAGGCCAGGCCACAGGGCAGCTAAATATAGAGGACGGAGCGGCAGAAAGGAAGAGTTGATAAAGTGGTGGAGAGGAAAAGAAAGGATAGGAAAACATGAGGAGCTTCACTGCAGCGAACCATCTGTGTGCTCTCTTTACAGGCCGCAGACTGGGGGAAGTGAATTGTCGCTGGTGAGGAAGGAATGATGCTATTTCAGCCTCAGAGACAACAGCTGCACAACCCTGGTCAAAGAACGTCCACGTACAGTTTACTGAACTTCAACCACTCTCTTTCTCATCGGGAGCAGAGACCAAATATTTTATTTCATGTGGTACAAGGATGTCTTGCTGTTTACTGGTTCATTTCAATTACAGACTCTGCAAATGATCCATGTATTGTATGTGTGAAAATTGGTTAGTGCTATTGACTTTATGGGTTTTAACGAGGACTGGAACAACACGCTGATTACATGGATATAGTGATTTGCATGGAGTGCTCGAATCCAATCATCAGAAGTGTGGGAATACTTCAAACACTGAAACAAACGGTGCTCAGTACACTTTTTGAAAGTGAAATGTCTGACAGCAGCTGAAGCCCTGTGCTCAGAAGACTCCTGAAAGGGTTCCTAAAACTTTCAGCCCTTGTCCCCGTAAATAGTTCCACAGATTTGTGACCCCCATTATTGCCAGAGGTGGTTGAAGCAAACAAATAATGTTGATTTAAGCTATTTTGAATAAAATAAAACACCTTCATGCTCCTGTGGTGCTGCGTTTGACCTGCTGCAACTGATGCTGACACCAATCTGTCAAAATCACCTCAGGGCTCATGTGGGAAGAAAAAAGAAAATTGGAAAGCTGATGAAATTGTTTTATTTGATTTGATTTCAGTAATTTTTACGATATCTCACGACCCTCCAGGGCGTCCCGACTCCGTTTGGGAGCCACAGTGCAGATGCTATTGGCTCTTGTTGGTAGTATCATATTTTGGGGGGTCACATTTAAGTAGTTTGGCAGTATGTGCATATTTACCTATGAGACTAAATGAAGGAGACTTCACAGTGTATGTAATCTTTAGCATATCCATAATATTAAATTAAGTGCATCTCCAATTACAAAACCAACCACATCGAACTCTATCTGCAGTAAACCACGTTTCTTAATGAGCCCTGTACTGCATAAATCATAGCTTTGGAGGTGAATAGTATCATAATGTATAAAATAAATCATAGATTCCATGTTGAAATATGTCACAGATTTTATTTTATGTGACCTTCAATGTCTCAGGATTAGGTTTATATAAAAATAATAAATGAAAGAGAATTGCTGTGGCTCTGCTGCCTTGGCATTCATCAGCATCATATCTGACAGAGGATTCACAGAAGGAGCATTTGTTATTTCCCTCAGAAAACTGACTTGTGTTTAAAGATGCACGTGATTGAATCGTTGTTGAAAATGTATTAATAAAGATGTAGCCTTTAATTAAATTCACTTCATAAACCATGACATATTTCTTTCTCTTAGATGGTGAAGTGAATCAGCTGCTTTTAACTATGAAAATAATCTGTGCTGGTGTAGGTGATGTTTGTCATGGGATTACTTTGTATTGCATTCCTTGACGTTTTATCATCAATAATTCATCCTGTATGGTTCATTTCAGATGTCACATGTCCACTTTAAAACAAACTGGTGCCAATCATGATAAATAATAATAATTACAACAATGATTAAGTAATTAAGTGGCTATTTACAAGTGCATATCAGAGAGCTGGAAAACTGTTGCCATAGAAACAGCTACTGAAAGTCACAGTGTGCTACCAGAGGTAATCTGATATTTGGCGTCAGGTCACATGACCTCCTCATAACATGGACTTGTGTTCCCAGCTTTGACAAAATGTACAGTCGGCTGTTTCCACTGTGTTGGTTCTCCTGTGTGTGTGTGTGTTGCGTGGGTTTAGTGTTGTGCCACCACAAATTAAAATATAAATTAAATATAAATACATGTTTATGTTTTTAAGACCTGTGAGCACAGAGAGATATTTAAACCTGGATATATAAAAACTTTGCTATGTGCAAGTCTTCTACCAGAGTTATATCAGGAATGATGTTAAACCCAACCTTCAGCAGCTGAACGTGCCGTTTATTGGAAGAGAGGCAATTTCTGTGAATCAAGCACAAAGTCAAAAAAATAATTAAATTGAGGCTTCAAGAGGCAATAAGGTTAAAGGATCTAAGCAATGATCGCAAACTTAAAGTTTCCCTTTTAGATAAACAATGTGGTGAGTCTTCCACATACACTTCTGCTCATGCAATGTCACATCCACAGATGACGACATTTCTGTTACAGAACAATTCAAGCCAGAACATCACTCAGTAGAGCACATACCTCTGCCAAGGCTCTCAATTTCACACGCTCATGTAAATCAGCTTAATATGACAGATTTATTCAAGATATGTGGTAAAAATCGCAAAAATTCCTGGATCTGCCAATGTTCCATGTCCGGTCCTTCCATTGTGTTTGTGTGAGTCCGTTCTGTAGTTTTTGCATAAATCTCCCGACAAATAAACAAACACACAAACAGACGGGGGAGTGCATAACCTTCTAAGATTTGTGGTCAATTTACTGTGTTAGTTTGTGATTAAATATTTAAAGGGTTTTTTTGTTATAATTTTGTTATTTATAAAAGAAGAAGAAATCCCAAATAGCACAGTTAAAAAAAAATGTTTGCCAACAGGAGATTTTTTTTTGAGTACTAATTACAATGTGGAACTTCTGCTTTACTTGAGTGTAACAACTACATATGTGCTTTTGACATGTTACTTAATAAAACATATGTTTAATGATTAATAAAAAGATTCCCGACTTTTTCAGCTGCATGATTGTAATCTCTTTACATTATTATTATTATTGTAAAATAAATTGGATTAAGAGGACCTGGAGCTGGTTGTGGAGACTTGAAGATGTGTCACCTCTAATCCTCGAATCCTCACTTGGTTCGTGAGTGCTCCCGGCTGCTCTCACGACCAACGTGTGGATGGTGAGGAAAAGAGGAATAAACACATTATCCAAAGACACGTGTGGACTTAATGAGAACATCCTCAACAAGCTCCGCGCCTCAGACCCAGTAAGACAGAAACTAGTCTGTCTGAAATGCACCTGAACACAAGTAAAGCATCCATGATGCCTCTTGTCCCTCCACACACGGTGTTGTCACTTCATCTCTCAGGAGACTTAACAACTGCTCTCACTGGGCCTGTGGAGACCCCAGACCTTCCAATGACGGTTGTTTACACTTGTCATCAGGTTTTCAAATATATATACAACCAGGTCCAGTTGCCCTTGATCTGAGCGACCTCTTGGATAGATCTGGACGACTCAATGTTCACCCATCAAGCAATAAATTCACTTAGAATCTGAAAACTTCTTCCACCACTGACAGCCTTCAGTTCAGATGCTGATTACAAAAAATTATGCTAAACTGTAATTCTTTCAATTTCAATGTTAAAGATTACTTATCATCTAGAGCTGCATGAAATTGTGTTTTTGGCCAGCTGGGGGCAGCAGTACAATCTGTAAACAACACTGCGGAATGCACTGAGACAGATCATGCTCTGTTGGAGCCGCTGTTGAATATTTTGTGATCTTGTGTTTTCTTATTTTTCCTACACATAAGAAGGCTTGAAAGATCCTTTCTTAAAGCCTTCATCTTTCTACCAACTGACAGTGGCAACACGAGTCCAAGAAATTTTTCCAATCGTCCATATTAAAAAAATAAAGATAAAGATTAATGTATTGCTTTTCTTTTCAACAATTTTAGGTTATTATATTTCAGCTCTGAAATGACTTTAACCAAATTCACAGTCGTAGTTATAAAAGGCCAAGTGATGATGGAAACAATCCCAACAATCAGAAGCCATGGATTTGTTAAGCTGCCTGTAGCTCTCTGAAAATGAATTAAATAACGACGACCAATGAAGCAGGAAAAGGCTTTAAGAAGACAGAGTTTTCAGGAGGTATTTTCTCACTTTCTAATAATAGCAATCAAGTAATCAAGAAATAGCAGTGACCAGGAACAATGGAGGTCAAACTGAGGAGTGATGATGGTGAGATATCAGAAAAAAACATCCTCTGCGGTCTCACCACAAATTTCCGTATGTTTGCAAAGGAACATCGAGGAACACCCTCAACAGTGAGCCAAGATTCTGTTTTATTGAGATTACGTGTAGATCACAGAGAGATCTGGACAGCACAATCACCGACCCATCATCCGGCTGGAATTGTTCCATTTTGCACTATTTACACGCACTAGTCAATCCTCAGTGTCTCAGCAATAGTGCAACATGCAGCTGCTCATATTTTAACCAACACCAAGCGCACAGGGATCAGATCTGAACTCTTGCCTTCCTTTCAGCAAATTCAATTTGATTTTAAGATTCTTTCGATAGCATTTAGAGCTCAGCACAGTCTGGCTCCAAGTTATATTACAGCAATACTAACATCCTTCGTTCCTATTCTAATTTGCCAGTAAATCAAGGCTGGAAACTAAGTGAGGGAACTGACTTATACCATCAATGCCCAGAGACTTGCCTGCACTTTTTTTTGGTTTTTAAATCATTGCTTAAAACATATTTTTCCTGAAATTCTTTTGATGCCTGATTTTCAACTGTCTTATTATCGTTTTGTTCTGTGTGCTTTTATTCCCATGTTTTGTATCGCACGTTGAAAGTGAAATATTATTATTATCACGATGATCATTTTCCAATTTCAACCGTAGGAACATCAGTTCTGCCACGAGGAGACACCATCACAGACGCAGATTATTTGATGTTCAAACAAAGGCACATTTATTACCTCATTTATTTAGGACATTTCTTATCTCAAGTGTAGTTATTCACATAAGTTTCAAGAAAAAAAAAAAAACATTCACATCTTTCTGGAGACAGTAGTATACAAAAAGTGAGTGTGACCGCTCTGCTTGACTGGTTGTTAGAGTGTGTGATACACACTTGCCAGTCATTAAAGACTCAGAGCCTTTTTTTGCCTGTAAGTTCCCTTGTTGTTAATACAGAAGCGTAAAGAGATGGAGGTAAAATAACAGCCACCACAGTAACTGTCTACTATTGCTCCTTTTGTGATGAAACAAAAACCTTTTTCAAATCAACACTGATGATCATCGGACACCAAGCCGAGCATGTTCACAACTGTCACCTTTCACTGGAAATAAAGAGTTCTTTGGTTAGTTCGTAGAAAAAAATGGTTTGGTTCAGAGACAGAAGCGTGTTCAGTCGCTCTGGAGGAACAGTCTCAACCCCCAACAGCCTCAACACAGGCTGGGAGTTTCATTAACTTTACAGTGCAGGAAAAACATGGTACAAATTCACTTGTGCAAGTCTCATTAGAATATAGCGAGCAGAGCACCTTGTGGCAGTGTTTCAGTTCAACATACTGGAAGGATGTTGGTCGTCAGCCAGTCCACAACATCATCTGTGTGTGTGTGTGCTTGTTTATGTTTGTTTGTGTGTGTGTCTGTATGTCAGTCCATTTGGTCTTGTAGTAGAGGGTCTCTCTCCTCGCCTGAAGTGCTTGTGGTTGCATCTGGTGTGGTGCCACCATCACATTTTCTTCTCTGTGTCGGAACCAGAAGAAAGAGGATGTTATGATGTGTTCAGACGACAAAAAAATACCATCAAGCCAAACTGCACCTCAACAATTGACTTAACCTCCGGAAAACAAATCAGAGCAGCTATATTTTAAATTGGACCAGAAGAAATAACCGACATGAGTTTCTCGATACATTTTCACGCATTGACTGCAAGAAGGGGCAGCCCAGTGTGCCCAGAAAAACCTGCTGGTGCACCAACGTGTCCAAGGACAGTATCTTTTTTTGGTGACAAAGAGTAGCTGCTGTGTTCAGGGAAAGTCAGGGAAAGAATGTACAAAATGAATGAGCATCAATATAATATCCAAACAACAGAATTCATTGGGCTGTCAAGATTAAATACAAGCATCCAATTTAAGGATTTATAAAGTAGAAGTATCGTTATTACACAATATTTTCAATAACGAGCTGTAAAAAATAATGTAAGTCAACAAGTATAATGAATTCTACACTTCAGTAAGTTCAGTACACTTCATCTTTTCTCTGTTTGTATAAGACACATGTTAGTTTATAGTTTTTTACAATTGCTAAAACACTAAAGTGACATGCATAGCACAATTATTTCAACCGACACACAGAGAGCAAAACCTCTTCTCAAGTCTCCAAAAGTCTAAACACATTTTCTGCTTTTCTCACATTTTGCAATTCAAAATGGCCCTTTTTAAAAGCACTGAACACGGTTCTCTGCTTAAGACACAACAATCTGACATAAAGTCACATGCTTGCCATTCAAAATGACACTACATGAGCTAATTGGTCAATATACACTGTATGTGTCACCTGGCCAAACACCTCAATGGTTAATTGTTACCACTTCAATCAGGAAGTAAGCTCTATGAAGAGACCACAGGTGAGCACCTTCATTTTTCTTGCCTCTATTTTTCTATATATATTTTTTCTGCAATTTTCTTTTTCAGTTTATTCTTTTTTGTGAGCATATTTTTATTCACTCCAATGTAAATATATCTGCAGCGCATATACGTTGCACTGACTTGTTTAGTGAAAAATAAAAAAATTAATGTTTCAACGGCATGTGTGTGCATATCTGCAAATATTTCTGTGCATGTGAACAATCTGAAGAATGTTCTACAATTTGATCTATTTAAGTATCATGGCAAAGCATACTAAAGATGAGAGTGCTGTTCATTAAACCCAACAGTGTGCAGTTGGTTAGACACAAATCTGGTAATATGAATGAAGTGTGTGCCATTGGGTGCAAAAGTTTGATTTTGATAATGCTATATGTAGATTTGGTTGCAGGATATATATGAGGTATTTTGCAGTTTGGGTGTGTGGTTTTGTGAATTGTGTTAAGTATTTTGATAAAACCAGCCTAGTTTGCAAAATTGGGTTTTAACAATTGGAAAAAACTGTAAGACACACAACTTACATACTTGTGTACCTGGTTTCATTATCACTCTGTGGATAATATCATAATGGATGAATATTCGAGCAATCATATGTAGATTGTACGACGGAGTATTAGGGCCATGTTGAAGACAGAACATTTTGAGAATTATTCTCGTAATATTATGGGGAAGAAAAGTCTTAATTTTATAAGGATAAACTTTGGGTTGCATGTCATTTTACTAGGAGAATATCAGGATGTCAAAATGAAGAATGTGAAGTTGTACTGAAACAGATTTCACAGATAATGTTACACTTCATCTTGAAAATATAAGTGTGTGTCTGTGTCTCTTTGTGTGTTTACCCACCTCAATTGTTTATGTTATATTTCTCCTGTGCTTCATGGCCATGTGAGCCTTTTACTGTCTTTTTGTCGGAGGCCTAAAAAAAACAAAACCTCTTAAAACATCAGCAAATCAGAATAATATAAAGATGGGCAGCAACTGGTATGATTCAAGGTGCTTGGCAGCATCAGGTTTTGATTTTCAAGTGAGGATGTGCTGGGATATAAGGATTCATGCAGAGGGTAATTTCTGGTAGTAATCCATTCGACCATGCAGTTAATTATGAGGACGTGCCTCATTCATTTGTGGGTCTTGTTCACATGATCATATGCAATTAAACATGGAGGCATTTGGTTTGTTTACCTCAACCTCTCATTTTGATGGACAGGTTATTATGCAGCAGAAGGAAATATAAGAAAAGCATCAATAATGAATTTAAAAACATATTAGAGGATATGCTTGACATTGATATGGAGGATGATGATCAAGAAACTCGGGATTTCTGATACATCCCAAAGAGTGCTTGACAATTACAAGGTACTTAGATGATCGCTTACTACTTGAAATAAATTGCCAAGTAATTTTTGATGTTGAGAAATTAAGTCAATATTATAGCACTCTCAAAAGGAAAAGCAAGAAAAAATGTATCTTGAATCAAGTTTTGAAAAATCAAGTTGATAACATTACGTAATCATAATCATATTTTGGCCGGGCGATTTGGATATATTAGATTGGAATTGTTTGGAAACATTTTACAAACCCCGGGGTTCTCCACCACTGTGGAGGTCATTGTTGCATTTCTATGAGACCTCTGCAAACACACAACATCAAAAACTTTTAACACTTTCAGAACTAAAAGCACTTCACTGAAACTTGAGCCTCTTCTCAAGTGCACTGACTGATTTCACCACGGACTGTCTGCTGCTGATATAACAGACCATAAAGACATTGAGTAAGATGTCAAAAGAACTGATTGGAGACACTTATACACACATTAACCTCGACTGGTTGGTTTATGACGTTATTATAAAACATCAAGGGTAATGTGTTTCATAACACACAGACACGCACACACACACACACACACACACATGCACACACACACACGCTGCGAGCTGTTGAGAAGACTGGCGCTGCTTTCACATCTGTGTGCTAAAGCCAGGAAAAGGAGAGACTGTCTACGCATTGAAATGTTTTTGTTTTTTTTATGAGAGCAGCAATTCATCCTGCCAAGTCTTTGTCATGCAAACATCGATGTGAGAAAACGAAAAGAATAACTGTCGATACAGTAGCTTTGCAGATATATAAAACAGCAGCCCTATAAATTCACTTCGTACAGAAGAAAAACACACATTGTATTTTATAAAGGAAATACACGACATATTC